AGTGGCGTTTGTTGTAGGCGTCGTCTCTAGTCGGTTGATCTGCCCGTGGGCGATGTCTTTGGCCAATCCGCGACTGACAACTCATCACAATTAGTTATAATTATGTTAGACACTGGTCGCTATAAATAAAAGTTATTTATGCCCCGCCATTTGGGCCGCAAAAACCCATACGAATGCTGCGGTTATGAGCTGGTAACCCGAAACCTTTGGGGTCACAGTCTCGTTTTCAAAAAGACAAAGAGTTCAGCTCATCTAGCCATAAAATGATTAAAAGAGTATGAGTTAGGAGTTAAGATTTAAGGCATTTCATTTATTTAAACTTTGAGCTCTATTAGCTTCTCAAATGCCAGATTTCACATCCTTGTGTCAACGCAAATATTTGCCAGAAGCTATAGCTCAATATGTGTGGAAGCTGTGGAAGATTTTAACTCAAATTCTTGTCGATACAATAATTTCAGCAACAATACATAAATTTCCAATTAAATTGGATTTAATATTCCCGTTTAGCTGAATTACATCATCTTTAATTTGGATAGAATGTGCTTTTGAATTAGAATTCCATATTCCAATTTCCTCTTCTTACATCATCGGGTGCTGAATTTCGTACCTCTGCTGGATTTCTTTTGCATTCCTACGATATCTTAGCCGATCTTCTCCATTGTGTGGGTTTATTTCCAATAATGGGTTTAATTCCAATCCAAAAACTCTGTTCTCAGTTTCCTGTGCGCCTCCAGCTTGGACAATTTCCTGCTTCAATTTGCGCACGAGCTTCGACAAAAGATCGCTCATGAAACTCAGCAATTTTTTCGTGTTCTGCTCAGCAGTTTTTGTTGGATTTACAAAAAGTTAATTATTTAATGATTTATGATAGCCAGTTGTTGGATTTCGCCGATTTTGTTGCCGTTGTTTCATTTCCATTATAACCAATTTGGTTTTGGATTTTATTTATAAGCATTCGCTAAGTTTAATGAAACTTGTTATTTGGCAAATGATGTCATAGAGACAACGCCTTGAGATCATAGTAGATCTCTACTGCTAAGAGAGAGACTGGCCGACGCCAAATTTGTTTTCTACTTAATTCCCGAGATCGCCTTTAGATAATACTGCCCGGTCTCAACTAGTTTTTCTGGGTCTTTGATCGCCAAACTGACCCACTTCGAGCGGATGGCATCAAGGGGGCTTGGATGTTTCGTGACTTATTAAGAAAGTACTGGTATTTAACTGATGGGGAGATGGAGAAGCCTTTTGTGCCGGGGTACACTTTCCACTTGGACCCTCCCACCCACTTATTCCAAATTAATCTTCGGGTAGCCCTCAATCATGACCGACGTGGATGTGCTTAGCTCGAGGATGAAGTCGCGACTTCATCTGCAAACCAAAACCATTGGCGCTGAGAGGATCAAGAAGGCCAAGGATAACAACGAGGACATTGCCGTGCTGAGCATGTTCCTGCCCAATGCCTCCGCCGTGGAGGAGAACCGAAACTTTTATTGCCAACTGGGCGACTATTGCCGCCTCGGCGATCCGCGTGCCACCAAAGCAGGTAACTTGGACGGGCGTCTATGTTAATTAACAACGGATGAGACATCATAATTTATCAATATTATTGCTGACCGAAAACTATTCAAATTGGCCAGAAGAAAGGAACCGCCCACGGGTTCTGGGCCAGTTCCATAGCGTCATCGCATTGGCGGTGTGATGATGAGTAATGATTTGGCCATTTAGGGAAACACTCCAAGCAGCCAGACATCTAATCCAATCCATAAAAATCTAGGGTCTATTAACTTAATAAATTATGTCTGCTATACAGTTTCTTTCTTTTTATAAAATTTGAATATTTAAATTAAGAAATACAAAGGAATCGCTTTGATTTACAAGCCAAAATGATAACCATAAAGGTGATTCCATTAAAAATAATTTATATATATTTTTGACTTTCATTAGTACATCCTATTAAGCTCCAAATTAAACATAAGTAGTGTGAATATTTTTTCGAAAATTAATTTGGTTCAACAACCTTAACCTTTCTCCCATTAAAGTCATCTTATGTTCTTCAATTGTCTTGCTTGACAACCGTGAATTAAAGAATAATTTTCGGGGAACAGAATTTCCACTCAATTACCCATCCTAGGGGACTGGCTTTAACTCTTGGTTGTCTGCTTATTTTTGGCAAAAAACATTCCGAACACGCAATAAATAAAGTAAGCGAAGACATTTGTCCAAGCTCTTGAGGGCTTATATGATCCAATAAAGCGGCTATAGCCCTAAATCAAGTGGCGGCATGCCTTTTGTCTCGAGACTAGCCAAAAATTTGTGTAATTTCTGCATTAATTGTTATGAAAATGTCGAACCCCATCGGGAGGGAATTCTAGGTTTGGTTAGGGGCGTGTCAGGAGCCCCCGTTCTCCCTGAAAAAAGTTGCATGTCTGGCTGACATAACGGCGGAAAGTTTTCTGTTTCCAAATATACTTATACTTTTATATATATTGAAAATGGATTGTCTTCCATTCACTGATTGAACTCACTCTGGCCTCAATCTGTCGTTGTCTGAAATTGAGTTTTTCCCCTTTTCAGATTGATTTGATCGGATCTAGAGCTGGGTTAGTGGGTTGACAAAGTTCAAGGTTCAAGGTTCGCCGCCTACAATAGATATCCGGAAATTGATTTTTTCTATTGTTTTTTTTTCGATTGTTTTAGGTACCAAGAAGATGGAATACAAAACCAGGCAGTGGCACGAGAACTGCTTCTGTTGCTGCGTCTGCAAGACGGCCATTGGCACCAAGTCCTTCATCCCCCGGGAGCAGGAGATCTACTGCGCCGGCTGCTACGAGGAGAAGTTTGCCACACGGTGCATCAAGTGCAATAAGGTAAGGAAAAATGTTGGATTTATATGTAAATAAAGGTGACAAAGTAGTAACTTAAAATCAAGCGAAAGTGTTAAAAAACCAATAATTATCACGCAGGAAGTCAATGTTCAAAAAGTCGCATATGTACAGATTTTTTAAGTATTTTTAAAAATATGCCTCATTTATTCAAATATTTTGATACTCATATTATTATATCAATGATTCAATGAGACAGTCAGATTATAAATATTAATATTTTTATGTTTTTTAAAATATTTACTTGATGAATAATTTAGAAATTTCTAAAATATATGACTAACTTTTAAAACAGTGACTTATGAAAGAGGATCATAAGTATTTACTAAATGCATTAACCAGCTTATCTTATTTAATTTTTTTTTTTTTATCTTTTTTATATTTTAGGTCATCACCTCGGGTGGTGTTACCTACAAGAACGAGCCGTGGCATCGCGAGTGCTTCACCTGCACCCACTGCAACATCACGCTAGCCGGCCAGCGTTTCACCAGCCGGGACGAGAAGCCCTATTGTGCCGAGTGCTTTGGCGAGCTGTTTGCCAAACGCTGCACAGCCTGTGTGAAGCCCATAACAGGTTAGTTATATCTTATCTCCTATCTATATCCTCTCAGATACTAATTAAAATGATGTGTCCTTGTAGGAATTGGCGGCACACGCTTCATCTCGTTCGAGGATCGCCATTGGCATCACGATTGCTTCGTGTGTGCCAGCTGCAAAGCTAGTCTGGTGGGACGTGGTTTCATCACCGACGGACCCGACATCCTGTGTCCTGATTGTGCCAAGCAGAAGCTGATGTAAGTCCAGCACGCGGACCACATGGGGGAGAGGAAGGACGAGAGGCAGGATCAAAAGTAGCCATAAACAAATTCAACGAAATTATGGATCAAATCAGAGCAGGACGCAAGTGAATGCAAAACGATAAAGTGGAATATATATATATACATAAATGTATTAAAACGATATACAGAGAAGATAATGCCTTACACTTATATTAGAGATGAGAAGATGAGAAGTCCTATTGAATCAAAAAAGCAAATCAATTTTTGTAAAATTTCAAGTCGTTAGAATTAGCTAACTTTGCTTTATCTTCACTCGGATAGATCAGCACATCGGATTGTATAGATACTTATTATTTGTAATTGCATTTCAAAAGGCAAAATCAAAAAAGAAAAACCTAAAAAAAAAATATGAAAACAAAAAATGAAAATACTGAACCAATTGTAACTATTGTTGCCACATTGAAAAATGTATGTTTATTTATTTATTTTAAGTTTTAACCAAGCGACGTGTCAGAAAGAAAGATGAAAGTTTCCTAACCGCGGGTTTCAGTTCTAAACAGTTCTATTGTATTAAATAGCACACGATTTTGTTCGATTTTGATGGTTTGTCAATTAAAAAACGCAACAAAAATGCCACACAATCGCCAACACACAGATACACACATGTCCTAGCAATATAATTGTTTAGTTTATATTATTTTCTTTTTGATTTATTGTCCTACTTCTTATGTTAGAGACTTTGCTTACTTAAAGCACTAAATACACAGACACCACACACCCACACAAACACACAAATAATAATGATAATTGCGACACAACATTATATCAATGTCCTTAACTATTTAATGAAATTCAATCTAAATAAATTAATAAATTATCAAAAATTGTATTTCTTTTATTATATGGGAAAGTGGAATTCTCAGAATAAGTTCAAGTTCAAAAGTGGCCGTTAGAGCTTTAATGGCCAGATAGTCGAAATTTATGGGCAAGCTTATTGATAGGTTGCCAGACTGTTGGATAAAGTTGGCTAAAGACGGAAGTCTGAATTTGAAAAATTGAAAATAAATAGATAACACTGATAAACCTCCATTAAAGCCCCCTTACATATGGATTTTACTCTTATATATTCCAACAAAACTCCAAAATGAGAGAAAGAAAAGAAACCTCCTTCCAAAAAAACAGCACTTGAACCAACAAGTTTTTTGACACATATTTCATTCTGTAATGACAACAAAAATTCTGTAAATAAGCTACAAAGAGTAAAAACGCAGAGGTATCGACCCTTGGAATGTCTCTCCAGAAAATATAACACTTTCACTCCCAGGTACCTCCGATGATATTGGCAATATGCCTGAGTTTCGGGGCCAAGTGAAGAATAATATAACAGAAAATTTACAAATAAATGCAAATAAGTAACTCAAACAGCCGAAATGGCTCAAAAACCAAAGCGCAGCGAGTGCTCGGGGCACGTCTGGATGTTGGCCATGTGCCAAGCTCTTGGCCAAACCGAGTCCAAAGCCAAACAAAGGTAAATACACAAACGGCACTCAATTACACTCAAAAAACGTACGGAAAACGGTCAAAAAATGTATGTGAAAAAGCGCAGCAGTTGGAATAAGTTCGTTGGCCAAGGCGAAGCCAAAATTAGTGCAACCTCGGACCAGGGCCAGAGTGGATCAACGGGACAGAAACAATCACGCCAGAAAGCTAGACAGTGATGCAGTTGCTCCACATATCGATGGGATGGGTTCTGGGACTAGGGCTGTTCTTCTCAGTTCTGGAAGCAGCCATCCTTCCCTTGACTTTGATCCAGGAAGCGGAAGTTGCAACGCCTATGGATACGGAGAAATTTGGATACCTCGAAGTGAAGCCTAATGGGTCACTAATTCTCCGGAGAGCCCCAAACCAAAGTGGTAGTAATCTCCAAAATCTCCTCATGCTCCGAGGAGTCCTACAAGCCCTTAAGATAAGTCCTACAAAGATATCGGAAGCTGGAGGCGAAACCCAAGTGGCTTTAAAACTCTATGGTGATGGGGTGGAGCTCAAGTTTCCACCTTTCCTGGAGAATGTCATCCAGCGTATTCAGACCTACTTCTCTGTATATCGCTACACGGACACCAGTAAGCCCAATTTTCAAAGGAAAGAGAATACAACCATATCTGAGCCAGAAGAAGATCCAGTGATCGAAACTACTTTGAAACCTGAAGAGGATTCCGATGAACTAACGTCCATCGGAGAACAGGATGCTTATATTACAGTGGGCGAGGATTCTCATTAGGGGCATAGTTTCTTCATTTAATATTTCATCGCTCTATTTATTCCATTAATTGTCCACCATAGTTTATAGTAATTTAATAAAAGTTACCGTATTCAAAACGGTGTGTGATCGCCTCCACCCTCACTGGATATTTGGACACGTTCCGGGGGTCACTTGGTATTCATTGCCATAGTTTTGGGCAAAATTTATGATCTTATTTACACAACTGTGTAATATGTGCAATATTTTTGGGGAATTTACTGGACTGCGTAAGAAACTATTCGCACTTTTTGAGGGTCAGTGTTGTTGTGTAATAAAATAATTATAAATATTAGGAGAAAAAGTTAGTACTACTAACATGGAAGTACCATAATAAGGTCTATCTTAAAAGATTTCTCCAAAGATATTCCTATAAATGAGCATGTTTTTAAACGTAAAACTGAAACCATAAAAGAAATCCTAAAAAATCTAATCAATATGAAAAAATACTATAATCTTAACATCTTTATTTAAAACTCATAAAAAGTATCAGTTCTCTGGAGTAATAATTTTCCCCGTAAAAAGTTCTCTGGAAACTTTTCCATTTTTCCATGCCACAGACCTACAATCCAAGATGAAAATTTTTTTTTATACATTTTACATTCACTTTTTTATTGTTCTGTTTTACGTTTTCAATGTTATGGTTAATGAATATGTAATGATGATGATGAATACGAACGTTTCGTGATGATAATTATGAACGAATGAATGTCTCTTTCTTGCTTCGCTTCTGTTTGTTAATTAATGTCTGGAAAATGGAAAATGCGGATGCTCTTGTGTCTTGTGATTGTTAGTAACTAAACATACGGTTGTGGGTGGGTGTGTGTGTGTGGTGTGGGAGGATACCCCTTGGCGAGGTCCGATCTGGGTCGAACCAGGCCAGTAATATTATTCAGTCGAAGAACCAAAGCTACCCAAATAGGTTGAGATACATAGATACAGTGATTCCAGTTAACTAAGCCTGTGGCAAAATGGCATCGGCAATAATCTCGGCAGGTTGCGCCGGCTGGATCTGTTGGATCTGCTGCTGCTCCTGCTTGGGCTGCTCGGCCAGGAGCGGCTCAGTGGAGGGTATGGTCTTGGTTAAGAGCTCGGCAGCAGGAGCAGCCGGAATCGTCTTAATCAAGGGCTCCTCCTGGGGCTGTAACTTGACTGCAATGGAAAATATATTTTTTTTTTTTATTAAATTAAACAACTAATTATGTAAGTGTTAACTCACTCTCTTCCTTAATCTGCTCCTTGGCCAACTCAGCACTTTGAAGCTCCTGCTTAATGGCATTGCTCTCCAGAAGACGTCCTGCAATCTCAGCCTTTGGCTCTTGAAGGGCTTCGGCAATAGGCTGCTTTGTTTCCTGGATGGGCTGCTCCAAGGGCTGTTCCTTCAGCAGAGGCTGGGGCTGTTCCTTCAGAAGAGGCTGCTCCTTCAACAAGGCTTGAGGCTGAATCTCCGGCTGGATCTCTGCCTGAGCCTGGGGCTGCAGCGGCAGTTCCTCCTTGATGGCCACAATCTGCTTCAGGGCTTGGGGCTCGGCTGCAGTCTGCTCCGCCGCCTGCTCTGCCTGCTCAGCCAGCTGAGGTTCCTGGATGCTACGGGCCCTGATGGCCGAAATGGGCCAGGTGTAGACCGGAGTATGCACCACATCTACCACTGGGGTGTGGAAGACCTGCGGCAGGCTATAGAAGTGTCTGGCCTCAGGCGCCGGAATCAGGGGCTGAGTGTTGGCCGGAGTCTCGATCAGTTGAATCTTTTCCTCGGTCTTCAGGAGCTGCTCCTCCTTCTTGGATCCACTGGGCGGGAACAGGCTGGGGAAGAAGTTGGCACCTGTGGAGGCTGCCGCAGCGGCCGCTTCTCCAAACTGGCCACTTACAATCTCGACGCCCTGCTGAGCCTGCTGCTGGATCTGGTTGATGTTCTCCTGCACGCCCTCCCACTGCTGCTTGGTGGCCGGAGCACCGTCCGCTCTGCCAGAGCCCACAGATTCGACCACCGGAGCCACCTGGGCAGCAGTTCCAGCCGGGACATAGACAATCGTCTCCTCGTGGTAAGGCGTGGCCGCCACTCGAGCCAGGGGAGATAGGCCATGGACGTAGCGGAGGGCTGGCTCCAGATGCACCTGAGCCTGCGGCGTGACGATGACTATGTGCTGCGGATGGGGCTCCAAAGGCTTGGCCAGGCCACCCACCGAGGCCAGGGCCAAACAAAGGGCCGCTAGAAGGAACATTCTGCAAGAGGGATTTACTTTTGTATTCCATGCTAAGACATATAATATTGAATTTAATTTTCTAAGTTTATTGTTATTTATTTAAATATTCTAAAAAGGATTAAATATTTTTAAACAAGCAATGAAACCTTCATAAAAATGAATGCCCTAAAAGTTCTAGAAAATCATGACAATAATAGTTCTTCTTTGACCAAAGTACTGCAAACTGGTCTTGAGGCATGGTCTATTTTTAGCCACTCTTCTGCCACCGCACCAAAGTCCATTCTAAATTTAACGTTATTTTGTGCGGCAGTGTGTGTCTGTGTGTATAATTGCTGAGTGCTGGTCCGACAGGACAGGATGCTCCGCCACTTACATGGATGCACTATTATTGGCTATCAACCGGTTTGCAATTGATTGGCCCGGCCAGGAGAACCTCTTCGGCAAGCACTTCTAGTGTAGATACTTGCTGGCTAATGACTGCAGGCAGCTTTATGGCTTAAATCGGTACTTGATAGTCAAGTTTGTCGATGTTCCTCCCATTCCCTCATCCTCTAATTCTTAAGAACGTTCTTTGTGTGGTCTTTAGACAGTTTGCAAGTTTGTTGCTTAAGTCTTTTGATTTCTGGTGAAAGAATTTCTTTCACAAATATGGGATTTTTACTATTTTTGTTATTTTAGGGTATGAAAATTAAAAATATGATAAAATTTTCAATATTATACTTTGACCTTATGTTTAAATAATGTATCCTTTCTCTGTATAGGCTTCTTGATTTTTTTTAATGCCTGATAGTTTTTTTCAGTATTCGTCATGAAAAAGTAAATATTTGTCCATTCTAATTAGAGACTTAAACGTTAAACTAGTTCCATTTAAGCTTTTAGTTCTTATTATATTTTGATAAATATATACTTTAATAATATTTTAAAAGAAGAATAAAGAATAAATATAAAGTATAAGTAATTTTACATTTAATACAAAATCATTTCCCCACTTTCCCAATTAACCCTTTAAAGCTCCATTAATTTTTATGTGAACAATTCTGTATAAAATTAATAAATCACAAAAATATTAAACCTAACTTTTGTACATTTCTTTCACTTATACTGGAACTTTTATGTATTTTTTTTTGGCTATTCTATTGTGACCTCATAAAGCAAATTTAAGAGCTTAGCCAAACCAGCTTGAATTAAACGTACTTGATAGAACTAAGCCTAGAAATTACTTTCTCGAAACGAGATGAGCTTACCTTTTAGTTGGGCTTGATGGCCTTTCACTGCTTTCCCAAACGTAGACAGCTAACTCGAGAGCACTTTTATGGCCACAGAATACGCTCCGGCTCGATCCGCTCGAGAAAAATCTGCAAATATCACTAGACGACAGTCGCTAACAAAGGCACAGTGCGGCTGGGCTATTTCAGTCTTCAGTGTTAACACGGCGACCACTTCAAGGAAACTGGTGGCCAACGCTACGCGACCATGGCCTTTTATAATGTGCGGCCAGAGACCCCGTCCCGCCCTGACACACCCTGACCTAGGCCAAGAACAAAGAGCCAAAGAACCTGAAGCCGGAGACGATGTTGGTAACTGGCCAGCTTCCCGAAGGAAGGGGCAACAGTCCAGCTTTTGGCCAAAAGGAGTCTCTGCAGATATGTACTTTCTGGTTTCAGGTTCGCTGCAGATGGCAGATGGTCAACGTAGATGCGGTTCTTGCCTCCGTACCTCCCTTCTAGTTGCTGTTGCAAGTTGCAAGTTTGTTAAACCTGCCCGCTGCGTAATAGAAGTCAAGCGTTGCATTGAAGCCGCATTGACGGCTTGGAGAACTGGCAACTGGTTCAGGTGCAAATTGAATGCATCCCAGTACCTATCCTCCATCGCTAGCTTCATCTCCAGCTCCAGCTCCGTCTCCTTTCCAGTCTCCATCTCCATCTCCGTTTTCATTTCCACCTCCCCGCTTAGATAATTTATTTTCATGTTGGCCGCCCTGGCGGAAAAGATTAATCAAGATTTGCACATGCTTGCATTCAGTCCGCCTTAGATTTTCGTTTTGTGCGCAATCGCGTAAATAAATTTATTTTCGTTATAAACTGTAATCACTTCCCGCAGCAATTAGATGCGTTGCCCTGTCTTCCTGTCACTGGCTCTGTGGGATCTTCAGACCATGTCAGGTTCAGTTGTGGTCTTCTGGTACGACGGCTGGCATCAAGCAATAAAGATCAATTTCCAGTTCATTGGCCTTTTGGATTACAATTCTTTGATTGTTTTTAAAATAGATATGTTAAACGATATTTAGGAAATGTTTTGAATAAGCACATCAGAAATTTTGACAAAAAATCTAAAAAATATTGCGTTCTTGGATTTTGATGCAGATTTGTGGAGAATCGATCTACAAATCGATTAAGGTACTCCGCTCAAGAATCAGATAGATATTGCCAAAGATATAGGCTTCGCAGTGCGCCATATCGACGCTCCCATGGATCTTCCACATTTTGAAGGGGTCCATCAGAAATTTTGACAAAAAATCTAAAAAATATTTTGTTCTTGGATTTTGATGCAGATTTGTGGAGAATCGATCTACAAATCGATTAAGGTACTCCGCTCAAGAATCAGATAGATATTGCCAAAGATATAGGCTTCGCAGTGCGCCATATCGACGCTCCCATGGATCCTCCACATTTTGAAGGGGGTCCATCAGAAATTTTGACAAAAAATCTAAAAAATATTTTGTTTTTGGATTTTGATGCAGATTTGTGGAGAATCGATCTACAAATCGATTAAGGTACTCCGCTCAAGAATCAGATAGATATTGCCAAAGATATAGGCTTCGCAGTGCGCCATATCGACGCTCCCATGGATCTTCCACATTTTGAAGGGGGTCCATCAGAAATTTTGACAAAAAAATCTAAAAAATATTTTGTTCTTGGATTTGGATGCAGATTTGTGGAGAATCAATCTACAAATCGATTAAGGTACTCCGCTCAAGAATCAGATAGATATTGCCAAAGATATAGGGTTCGCAGTGGGCTATATCGACGCTCCCATGGATCTTCCACATTTTGAAAGGGGTCCCCTAGAAAATGTTAGTCATATTCTGTTTATGATTTTTACTATATAGGCTTTCTTTCTCAAGATCCTGAACTATCAACAAGCGCTTGCAGAGAATTTCAATTAAATAGGCAAATTTTATTGGCAATTCGGTAGCTGGCACACAAAATGTTGTACAATATATACTATAAATCTCATTGCAATCGAGTTTCATTCCAGGGGATTATATCTACTCCGAGTGGAGTCGTCGCTTGGGAGCCATGCGGATGTACGGTGTGGGCTGAGGCTTAGCCACCTTGGCCTGGGCCTGCCTGGCGGCATAGTCTTCAGCAATGGCAGTGCGCCACTTGTTCACCAGGGCATCTCCGCCCGAGATACGAACCGGAACCAGTTGCTGCGGGGTCTCACGGGTGAGGGGGAAACGGGCTAGGCTCAGGGGCACATCACTATAGTCATAGTCATCGCTGACCCTTTCCGCAGCCGAGTTGGGACTCTTAATAACCAGTTGATTCCTGGAGGGCAAGGAGATGCTGAAGGCTGCTGCCTCCTCGGGTGAGACTCCGGCAATGGCAGTGGCTTTTGGAGAGGCTACGGCTAAGCCATTACGACCAGAAAGGGCCACGGCATTTGGCTTAGAGGATGCCACTCCTCCCTCACCGGCGATGGAAAGACCTGAAACGGAATGAAGAAATCAAAACCAATGCTATAAGGACTTCTTTTATTTAGAACTCACCGACAGGCTTGGCTTCAGCCACAGCTGCATCTTTTTTGGGCGCCATCACGGACACACTGTCATTGACATCCTCATAGGGATCTTCGTTGTTGGGCGGCAGGAACTGCTCGTCCGGGGAGAACTGCTGCTCAGTGACCTCGTCCAGTTTTTGCTCGTCGATTTTCTGATCTGCCGGACTGTTGGCTGCCTCCAAGCCAAAGTTGGTGGGCTGCTTCTGAGGCATCGCGAACAGCTCCGGCTGCAACAGGACACTAAAGTCCTTGATCTGTCCAGTCTGCTGAAGCAAAGCTAAGCTCTGGGCCGCTTGGCCAAGCTCCAGAAGGCTGCTGGCATAAACCTTGTTGTCCTCCTCGCTGAAGGATCCCTTGCGCTTGGCCATCTCCTGGATGGCCACCAGACGGGCGGCGGCCAACTGAATCCGATTAAAGTCACTGGCGCTGGCCGAAATGGTGTTGCTGGCTCCGGACCCGTCGGCAATGGCTGAGATGCTGGCCGCTGAAATGGTGATGGTATCGTCGGAGTCTCTGGGCACCGCCCTGACCTGCGGCTGAGCCTGGCGCTGCAGGATGAAGCTGCCCACACTGCCGTCCCGCTGCGGACGCAGTTGCAGCAACTGGCCCCTCAGTCCGCCGTAGTAAGGATGCTCCTCGAAGATCAGCGGAGCTGCCCTCGATCTGTGTCTGTTGTTTTTTTATGGGTTTGAGTTTTTGGGGGTTAATCTTTTGATTACACGGATTTTGGAACTGGAAAAGCGGGGGTTATGCCTGGATTAAGCTTGGGGTTTGGGGTTTGAAAGCAATGGGGATATCTACAAGGGATTAGCGGACTACTCGATGACCCAAGGAGGTAGCTATACGTATTTATGTAGGAAGTACTTTATTTACAGTCTAGGAATGACACATTTTAAAGGCCTCTGTTCTTAACATAGGAACATGGGGGAGTTTTGGGGAAAGGATCTAACCATCCCAATGAGCCTTACATGGTTATACTAAATATATGTATGTTTTCTCTTTCATAAATTGATTTTTGTATTAAATTTTTCCATTTTCTAAAAAAATTAATTCATAAAAAAGAAATTTAAGGAAAATGCCAAAGAAATTGCTTTGTTTTCAGTTCCCATCTCCGGTGTTTCAGTCTAAGGATATCTTTTAAAATGAAACGAAAACAATTCCTTTGGCTGATAGTTACTAAATGGCCTCCTCCTGGCGACTTCTTTATTGGAACAAGTCCAGCTCCAGATCCGCTGTGGCATGCGCCTTGCCACCCACACCTGCTATGGCCACCGATTCCGGATTGAAGTACACATTGGTGGGAACTCCGCGCTTCAGATACGCCTTGGAAATGGGCGTGGATATAGCAGTGCCACCATTACCCACCACAGCCTTGGAATGGGGCTCCAGAATCAGGGCCGCCTGCTTGCGTCCTTGTATAGCCTGAGCCTTGCCCGGCTGGTAGGGTAGGAAGTAGTTGCCGAAAGGTATTTGGGGAAAGTTGGCGGAGCTGGTGCTGGTCTTCCCAGTGGCCTCCACTTTAAGGGCTTGCTTTCTTAGCTTTTGGGGCGCCAACTTCTTGAACTGCCGCTGCTGCTGCAGCTTTTGGAACTCCTGTTTGGTGGAACTAGTTGAGATTACAAGCTTGCCGGGAATAGGGACTATCTCCTCAATCACATAGTCCGGGTTGATCTTGCTAACTGCCGAACGGAGGCCAACATCACTCTTGAGATCGCCGCTGGTTTGCGTCTTGGCTTCTTTGGGGGGCAGTGCCTGGAGCTTTTCTGGCTTGTCGCTCTCCAACTCAGTGGAGCTGTCCTCGGCTAAGCTTTCGGGCTGGCCTTTGGGGGTGGTGGTTGGGGCACTTGCTGCTTGGATCGCGGTGGAGGTGGGTTGGAGTACGTACGCCAGGGGCGGCAGGGGGGCCAGATTGTAGGCGGCATAGTAGGCTCCATACGGCGTAAGTGGGGTGGCTTCCAGCAGTTTTCCGGACTCAGCAGCCACCGGAACGGCACCGCTCGGTGGCCAGGCCTCGATGTTGGTGGTGCGCCAGTAGGCACTTTTGGGTTAAGATAGTTTTTGTGTTTTTTTTTCGTTTTTGATAAAAGCAAAATGGGAAGAATGTTGAAGAGAGCCGCCGGTTAGTTTGGAGAATATTTACAGCAATATTTTAAAGGGTTAGAGAAAGGATAAGAGAGGAACTGTGTCGGGTTATTTACATGCCAGGTGAGGATTAATGTAATGTAACTAAGTATTTACAGGTAATATTTACACAATATTTACATGACAAAAGCAAAGCACAGACGGTTAGGAAAATACACGAATTTATTAAAAAACTAAAGAATACCATCTAGGAAACCTAACTAAAAGTCCAAACAGTAGACTCAAAAAACCCCCGGTCCTTGATCCCCCTCCTCCTCATCCTCAGCCTCCATCGTCGAAGTGGGAGGGGCGTAGTATACGGTGGGTCCAGTGGCCACAACTTTGCCCTCACGAGGGAAACTCCTGGCTTCCAGATCCGTGCGGGCGAGCGCATCTTTCAGGTCCACATTCGCCGGGATTGAGATCACCTTGGCTCCGGGTCCGGCGATTGTGAGACTACGTGGATGGGTGAGGGCATAGCCGCCGGGACCCACAATAGCTGTGCCACCGCTGCCAGCAGTGGCCACACCGCCTGGGCCGGCAATGGCG